TGCCTTCAACAACAAAAAATGTTTTACCTTACAGATTTGCTAATTTCACAGTTATAGGAGAATACTCATGTTTGAAATAATGATACAGGCATTTCTGTAACATCACCTGATTAATAAGATACATTTTGTTTCTTGTTCTTTTTCAATAATATTTCTGTTGCTCTGTTGTCCTGACCATACGGTATCTTTTGCAAACTGGTTTATTTATGGGATCCTCAATAGATCATCCAGCTTCCATTACAGCTGGGAAAACAACAAGTGTAGCACTCCTTATGAGGCTAGTACAATTGAACCATGTGTATTGATAGCCTCACATAATTTGGCGCTCAATAGCACTGTCATGTTGAATCTTTCAATCTAGGATTAGGTATTCTCAGTTTGTCTTTCCCATGCAATTGAATTCTGAAGGTAACGCTGCTGTAAAACTATTGTGTGAGGTTACTGTTATTGATATGACAAGTTGCTTCACTTCTAGAAGGTAATTGAAGTTAACTGTGAAATGTACAATTTGGAAGCTCCTTTTCTCTTCCATAACTGCCGTTAAAAGACCCTACTGGGATCTTATGAAGGCAACAGGAGTGTCAGCTGCCAGATTTTGTGTACCCCCATCTTCAAACCTAATGCTGGGGGAGCAGTAATCCAGCCCTGTGCCAGTGTTATATTGCTGACGATGCCAGATAATTTCTTGTTAATCATAGGTTTACAGGTAATTTCCATTTTCCACAATTTAAGCTGGAATCATGTATTAACATTCCTTTTCCAAGAAATCTTCCACACCTGGAAAGCAAGATGGTTAATTAATGCAGTTATTATACCCTATACTAAAAATTCTCAGTTAGTGTATAGAAAATCACATACTTTACGCAAACAACTCTTGTACACCAGTTCTTTGTTTTTTCTCCCTATTATACAGAATCATTCATCCAGGTTCTGCTTCCCAGTCTCTTGCACAAGCAAATTATCACAATTAAAATCTTAATTTAGTTACAGTGCTTTACCTCCCCAACTCTTCACTAACAGTTTGGGCTGCTAGCAATGCCTTTGTCACTCATTTAATAACAGTAAAACATAGTTAATTTCAATCGACTGAGTCAAGAAATTTCAAAAGTAAAATGCTGAGTGTTATTTCAAGTTTTCACACTGTTACAAAGCTCACTAATGAGATAATGGTGAGTCTTAATAAAACCCAACTAAGAACTCAGTTGGAGACAATTGGGATCCACGCTATAGAAATTATATTGAGACTTGAAGTAGGATGCTGCCTGGTATGAAGTAACACAATATAAAGAGGATAATGCAGAGTATTGGTGCCATAATATAAAATTATTTAAACTTTATAAAGAATGGCACAGCTTATAGCAGATTGATTTTAATAGTTGAGGGACAAAGAATAAGAGGCAGTAGGGAGAAGATTAAATGTAAGATTTACAAGCAAGAGAGGGAAAAATGTCTTCACAGACGGAACTGTCTGGATGCAGAATTCACTTCAGCCTTGATGGTTGAGGCAGATATTATGCCATGAGTCAAGGTTATTTGGATGGCTGGATAAAGGAATAAGTGTTGAATGGATAAGGGAGTAATTGTGTTTAGAACTATTTGCTATGTGGAGGTTAAAACCTGATGTGAATTGGTTGGGCTGCGTAATGCGTTTTCTTGTTGTAGCTGGTGAGCTGTGAGGATTTATTAGCATGTTCTAAAATGACTGCACAATGAATACACTCTGTAAGTTGCAATGTTCCACAGTCAAAGAAGAATGTCTTTTTCTCCTCTCCAGCAAAATCCGTCACACAAAGCAAATGTTTCAGAAATGTGTACAACTCACTGAAGTCTCCATCCAAAGAATACAGTTAGTAATATCAGCCAATCTTATAGGGTACTACGAAAAATATTCTTGTAGTTTTAATAGTCTTCTGTTCCTTTTCTAGGTATCTTCATAACTTAGCAATGTTGGGAGAATGAATGACAACTGGGTCACACTTGGAAAGCATTTAGTACAATTAAAGGCAGTGGGATAGAGTATGTGTTTGGAAGGGGCAGTTGATCTAGCACCACTGATATAGTGCTTTTGCTCAGGCGTCATAAGCTCAGCCAAGCTGCAGTTTCCTCTTAGTTCATTGATTCAGTTATAACTGTTCGTTATTCTCTTCATATGTGTTTCAAATGGCAGAGCCATTCCTTTTGTGCTTCAAACACCACGTTTTTGTCATTATGGCTATAGGAACAGTACTCTCAAGCACATCTTATGTTAATAAATAATATCAAAGAATCCAAAGAGCGTGGAGGCAGGCCATTCGGCCCATCACAACCCTCCAAGAGCGTCCCATCCAGACCGACACCGCCCCCCCTACAACTCTATCTCCATAGCCATACATTTTCCATGGCTAATCCACCTGGCCTGCACATCCTTGGATTGTGGGGGGAGGGGTGGGTAACCAGAACTCACAGAGGAAACTCACACAGACAGAGGGAGAATATGCAAACTTCACACAATCACTCAAGGAATCAAACCTGGGTCCCTAGTGCTGCGAGGCAGCAGTGCTAACCGCTGAGCCACCATGCTGCCCTAATAATATGCGTTTACTATATCACCGATACGCTACAAACAGCAAATAGTGTGCAAGAAATCGGGTGTGACCCTTGTGAGTGATTGAACTAACTTTATAATGGTAAGATGAGGTGTAATTAGCGAGGACTTTAATTGTCCTAAAGTGATATAGCAAATGCTTGTCATCAAAATGTGAAGCCCATCCCAGGCTGCAAAGAGAACTGTTTCAGAGTGAGCCTTATCTCCAACAAGAAAGAATATTAAAGCAGAATACAGTAGGTGCTGGATATCTGAAAATAATCCAAAAAGTCTTAGAAATACCCAGCAGATCTAGCAGCTTCTGAGGCAGAGAAACAAAGTTAACAATTGAGGTCTGTGGTCTTTCGTCATAACTGAGAGAAATTATAAATACAATATGTTTTGAGAACTTGGAAGGAGGGATAGATGGGAAGAACAACAACTATGAAGGTCTGTCGCAGGGTGTGGAGGGGCAGGAGAGAGGAAATGTCAAAGCTTTCAAAGTCAAAAGTAAAAGAGAGTGGGAAAACTAAAAATAGAAAGGGTGTGATTTGAAGGAGGTATGGCTAGCAGGATCATTAATACCACCTGTCCAAAAACAAAGGAAGTGATGGAGAAACAAAATTAAAACAAAGAGCAAAGAAAATCAAAACAAGATAGGGCAGAGGTCATGATCTGAAATTGTTGAACTCAGCGTTGAATGGAGAAGGCTACAACGTGCCCAGTCAAAAGATGAAATGCTCTTTCTCAAAAAAATGCAGCGCTAAATGAGTAAGCTCAAGTGAAGAAAACATTTGTAAAATAGTCACCATAGTCAATTCAAGTCACATTAAAAATGTCTAAACAAAAGGTGGGGCCAAAGTTAAGTTTTCAGACTATAAACCCACACAATTCCAAAGAGGACCTAGGCCAGATTAATTGACTAGGAAAAGATCAACAATCAAGGAATAGATAATCTTTGGAAGATGTTTATATCTGAGATGGATAATGTGAAGTTTAAACACCGTTTAGTTACTGGAAGAAAAGAGGTAATAGTAAACCCTGAGGGCTGAACCTGAACAGAAATCAACTAAATGCCATGAGCCCTAGTGCTGCCATCCCAAACTTGACTCATGACCTGTGCAGCAGGCCATCACCATCCTTGAATCTCAGTCATGCACCTGGTCAAGTGTTGGCAATCCAGAGATGCCCCTCACTGTGGACTCAGATTGTTCTGTTCTGAAATTCCATAGACTAAAGATTATTTAAATAACAAATTCCATGATAAATATATATGAAGACGTACAAAGTAAAAACTCTGAAAAGTAAGTAAATGTACAGAACATGAAGTTTGAAAGAATAGAATGACTGGAGGTTGGAACGAGAGGAAAAAGATTAGGAATATTGAAGGAGGATTATGTTTGATGTTTGGTGTCTTACTCTATAAATCTTAGCAACTACTGCATTGTCAGCTCTGTTGCATCTGTTCTGACGTTCCCCTCTGGCCTTTCAGGCAGATGAAATTGGGCTTCGGTCTTAGCCCAAACCTGGCAATAGTTAATCAATCGCTTGCTGAAAGCACCACGTTCTGTATCCAACTGCTTTTGATGGAAATAATTTTAGCAGCAAGGTGTTAAACTGACAATCCATTTTTGCCAAAGGCTCATTTCACCCCATTAGTTTGTCATCATGTACATATGTTACCATTTGCATTAACTTGCTGAAAACAATTCTTCATTCGACCATTAAGATTTGTAAAGGGTAAAAATAATTTCCTTATTTATATAGGTTTACTGTAGTCACAGCACCAGTTTCATACTAAGTGATGCTTTGGAAATTGTGAACACCTAGGATGTGAAGATAAAGAGTAGGAAGTTAATACCTTCCTCGAGGCACATTTGATTGTAATTGGTGCATTTAATTGAGTGGGAATGGGGATCTTTTTAATTCTGCCTCAATTGAGTCTAGGATAGGAAGGCTCATGAACATTGTTCCTGTCCTACCACTAACCAAGGCCCTTAATTGGACAATCACCACCCACTTTACAGCCTCATTGGACTGGCATTGATATTCACATGGCAACAGAAGAGGGACTTGCCATGTGAAAAGCTCAAAATGAAAACTCTGCCAGGGTTGATTGTGCATTTCCAGAGAGGCCCCTCGTTCAAACACATTCAGTGCCTCTGATGGTGTGGCAGCTTTAGGGACTGGGATTTCAGTTAATGGGGCTCATGATCTCTTGGAAGGTTTGGCACAGCCCTTTCTGAAAGACATGACACAGGGCTCTCGCTGGCTCACTAGCCAGTCAGCAAGATATCATTCGGCTCCATCAAGTACCATCCTAAGAAACTGCCAAATATTATTAAAGTCTAGAATATTACCTGTATTACTTTGAGATTGGAGGTTATTGCAAAAAAAAAATTCTATCTGTTTACTGTAACCTGCCATGTTCATACAGAGTTGAGCCAGCACCAGGAGTTGAAAACTCAGCAGTCTACAAGATGCTACATGACAACCAGGAGGAAAAGAATGAGCCGAGACAATCTGGGTCCTTCCGTGCAATCCAGGATTACCTGGAGGCAGAAGAAAGTGGTGAGGGTCACTGGCTTTCAGTCTTTACTACTGGGAAGCAAAATAAACTAGTTGGACACTAGTTAGGTCCAATTGTGAAAAGTCGTTGCGCAACATTGTACATGTTTATTCGCAAGACTTAGGAACCTGTTCCAGTGTTGGTATTGATTTATTTGTGACATCAGTGATTTAAAGGATACTCATGTTGAAGAGGTGAATCAGTGCCATAGAGTGTGAAAGGGCCATTCCTGCGTACGTGTGATGAAACTAGAAGGGATGGTGGCAGTAACTCAAGGCATGGGCAACGAGGGACAGACAATAAATGCCAGCCAACTGGTGATGCCCATGTCCCATGAGGGATTAAAAAAAATCACAGATATATTACAACCCATCACTTTGTTTGCATACCAACAAAAGCCCCAGGCTGATTAGACAATGACATTTACACAATTTCCTGCTGTTAATTTTGTATAGCTGATGTAGATAGTTCAACACTGACTATTCAGATTCAAAATCATTTTTTACCGTCATTTATCTTTCTGTAAAATGTCCAAGGTACTCGCCCTGTGGTGACTCGAAGTGTGAGGGCTCCAGTGACAAAAGTCGGTGCTTCCACTGGAAGTGTTCAGAAGCTGCCACTGTGTGACAAGTGTGGAAACGGAATAGTGTAAGTTTAAAAATGAGGGTATGATTGCAATATCTGCCAACCTGATGAATCCTATCAGAAAGTAGGTCCTGAGATTTCTGACTTCTTCACGTGACTATTTCTGACTAATGCAGAAATTTAAACTCAGATAAAATATCTTCAGCTGTTAAAATCATAGCTGAGGACCATGGTAGGGCCAGGGAGGCTAATGATTGGGAGTTGGGTAATGTGTATCCATCTGCATCATCTTAATTTAAGCCCCTGTATAATCATAATTTAATAATATTCCTTCCAACAATCTGGCTTTACTGCATTTTGAATAAGGTCACCATGGTCCTGTGAATTAACTTAATGTCCTTTCCACTCTGAAACCTCATGCCAATCCGATCCAAGCCTGATAGGACGACTGTCAGTCTTACATGGATTTTCTTTACCAGGCTTGAGATTTGGATGTTGGTTTACATTTCTGGAGAGAGGCTCAATTAAATGTTAACATTTGTGGATCCCGCTGACACACTCACACGTGCATATTGTTAGAATCCCTACATGTGGAAACAGGCCCTTTGGCCCAACAAGCCCACACCAACCCTCAGAACATCCCACCCAGACCCATCCCCCTAATCTAGGCATCCCTGAATGCTATGGGCAATTTAGCACAGCCAATCCACCTAGACTGCACATCTTTGGACTGTGGGAGGAAACCGGCGCACCTGGAGAAAACCCATGCAGACATGGGGAGAATGTGCAAACTCCACACAGACAGTTGCCCAAGGGTGGAATCAAACCCAGGCCCCTGGCGCTGTGAGGCAGTAGTGCTAACCACTGAGCCACGGTGACGCTTTATTGTCAACTAACCTAAAGAAAGACACATTTTTCAGTTCCTTGAATTGGATTATTATAAAGTAGTCATGTGATGGTGCAGATTTCTACACTATAAACTACTGTGCACTGAACAAAACGTTAATCGTAAAACAGACTAACCTCTACCTAACAAGTGATGCTTAACTTCCTATGGTTTAACATACAGATTTGGGGGTGGGGGAGTTTGGATCTTCCCCTGTCTGCTCTGTGTGACTAAGTCTACTTAGTAAAAAAAATTGCAATTTTGTTACACATTGTGCAAATGGCCAATCCTCCCTTGTGACTGGAGCTTCTAAAACGAACACTGCATCGATTTACTTCTGAGGTGCTCTTCCAGAATTGTCAACAGGTTAAAAAAAACCCAGCAATGGTCCACCTTTTTCAAAGGGGCAACAGAAATTGTTTTGTGAACTGATCCTGAGACATAAATAAAACATGAACATTCTGGTTCTTTCTCCTTCTCTCCAGTAAAGACTGGGTACTGAAATGCTGGTCAGTGGTTTAGAGGAGTGGTATGGGGGAGGCTGTAGGGATGAAAGTCTGACATGACAGGGTCTAGGTTTGTTCCTGGAGCAGCAGATATCACTTAAACCCATTCCTGGTTGAACATTAAGGTGTCTGTTGTAGGTATAATTTCACCCTGCTTTGCTTCCAAGATGCCCTGTGAATCCAATGTTTGCGAAGACCAGGCACGAGATTCATTCTGAGTTTCTTAGGTCCCTTCCCATACGAATCCCTATGCAAGAAATGAAGATGTCCTTCCTTTTTATAAACCAGGTGCCCACTATTGGAAGGCAGGGTGCTACCCTTTGGTCTTCATCAGAACAAACGTCTCTGCTGAGAAGGGTAGGATTTCACAGGGTTTGGGGAGGGGAATCAAAGGAATCCCCTTTAAAGGTGGAAAAGATAAACTTCAAAGAAAATTTCAGTACATATTTGAATGTATCTAGTCCTCAAAATTCTACCTGCTTTTCCTTATTGCAATATTCAATAACCTCTTAAAAAAGGATAACCGGCTACCATAGTCTTGCTCATATTCCAACTCAAATGACCAAGTCCTTCGACCCTGAGATAGTAGGAACTGCAGATGCTGGAGAATCTGAGATAACAAGGTGTAGAACTGGATGAACACAGCAGGCCAAGCAGCATCATAGGAGCAGGTAAGCTGACGTTTCGGGGCTAGACCCTTCTTCAGAAATGATTCACTTCTTCATTTCTGAAGAAGGGTCTAGGCCCGAAATGTCAGCTTTCCTGCTCCTATGATGCTGCTTGGCCTGCTGTGTTCATCCAGTTCTACACCTTGTTATCCTCATACCCTGATTTTTTTTTTTGAGTGGACATTTTCACTCAAGCATCCTGAGTGACTGAGTGCCACCTGATTTGATTGTACATGAGCCACCCTTCCTGAGTCAGTTGAACATGGGAGACCGTGACCCAATTTTAGGCTCTGACCTATCCAATTCACTCCTGAAAATAGTCGCGTTGGTGTTTGATTGCTCCCCGTAACGCTTGCATTGCTTTCATGTTGAAATCCACATTCCACATGCCTGCACTCTAACGGAATTATTGTAAAATAACTCTCACACACAGTGGCACAGTAGTGAAGGCCCGTGACAAGTATCGACACCCGGAATGCTTTGTTTGTTCTGACTGTGGCGTGAACCTCAAGCAGAAAGGTTACTTTTTCATAGAGGGACAACTGTACTGTGAAGCCCATGCAAGAGCAAGAACAAAACCACCAGAGGGATATGATGCTGTCCCCGTTTATCAGAACATGAAGGTTTAACTTGCCTGTGGAGATCTGAAAGAAAATAACAGATCGGATCCATTCATATGAGAAGCCTTTCCTGTTAATATTATGCTGCATCTCAAAATGGTTAACCTTTAAGTACAAGCAGTGTCCCATTGCAAGATATATTTAGAGAATGCAACTCGTTCAGTTATCCATGTTAGCAGACTGCTACATGTAAACCTTGCAGAAAGCCACATAGCTCTATGCATTGCTGCAATGATGCAACTAATTATTTAAACAGCATTGTTTGTATAATCACATCTGTAAAAGCAGTAAAATCAATGCATTGTTAAAACACATTGTACCATGACTGCTAATGTAACATCTTAGTAAGCAGGCCTTTAGGCCTTTGAAATATACATTAAACAAATCTTGTGGCAGATATGCATCATATTTTAATGGTAATTATGAAACCCTGGGGTCATATTTTCACTGGCTTAGCACACAGGAAGTGATTCAGTCAGAGAGGTGTGACAAACCTACAATTCAGGATTATTTCAAAGGCTGTGGATCTCCAATATCAGTGATAGCTCCCCCACCCGGAAGCAATTGCCCTGTGTTCACTATGTCAGTCTGCTCACTACTGATGTTCTTTGTGCTTGTTTAGTTATATCTGGGTGTGTATTTGAAGCAAAGGAAACATAGAAAATAGTGAAGCAGTAGGCCATTCGTCCCTTCAAACCTATAGCATGCAATTTCAGAATCCCACACCCGCTTTCTCTCCATATCCCTTGATCCCTTTAGCTGCAAAGGCCACATCCAGCTCCCTCTTGAATATATCTAACAAACTGGCCCCAACAGCTTTCTGTGGGAGAGAATTCCACAGGTTCACAACTCTCTAAGTGAAGAAATTGTTCCTCATCTCAGTCCTGAATGGCTTACCCCTTATTCTTAGATTGTGACCCCTTGTTCTGGACTTCCCCAACATTGGGAACATTCTTCCCGCATATAGCCTGTCCTGTCCCATCAGGATTTTATATGTTTCTATGAGATCTCTGTAAGCAATCTGTAGCAGGAGCTGGAAGCTAGAATGAGAAGCATGTCATCCGTGTTTTAAAGTCACTGTGAATAAAACCTGCTACACGTTAGATACTAGAGTGATCTCTGCATGGGTCTAAGATCTAAAATATACAACAGAGGCCAGAGCAGACTGATAGCTGAGTGTCCAGTCAGGTTAAAGAGCCATTCATGACACCAGTGACATGGGGAGATGGGTGGAGTCAGTTGGGGGGTGGGTGGACAGTTTGGGAGATAGTTTACAGAAGGAGAGTAGCGGGTCTATCGGATGGGGGAGGGATGAAAGCAACAAAAAGGCATTTGATTGGACCAACTGATGATCTGGGTGGTGATGGGGAAGGGAGGGAGGAAATAGTACCTATGTAAATGCAAAGTACTGTAGATACTGGAAACCTGAAATGAAATGCAAAACATAAACTCTATTTCTCTCTCCAAATATGACACCGGAGTTGCTGAGTTTCTCCAGCGATTTCTGTTTCTATTTCAAATTTTGGGGTCTGGTGGGGTAGTGGGGAAATTGGAGGTTAAGGTGGTCGTGGGACCTGATTGGGGAGACTCCTCAGCCAGGGATCTGAGTAGAAAGTCCTTGCCAACTGATCCCTCACCTCCATGAAGCTGCCAGGTTCCCCGATCAGTCAGGAAAATCTGACTGAGAGCCGTGAAATTTCAAAAGCTGCGCAACGGTCTTATTATGAAACTCAACACACCAATTCGGATTCATGGAGCAGGTAACCTCTTGACCTCTGGCCTCAGTTCAAGCTGCCTCAGATTTTTAAAGTTCAACCCAGTACAGACAAATCCACATGCCAATGACTTTGTAGGCGTGCTATTTCAAATGCACATTAGGCGTTTCTATCTGTCACGCTGGTTGGGATTTAACCTTCACCAAATTTAAGAAATTGCCAGATGTTATTATATTACTTTTATTATCAATAACATCTATTAATTCATGCGTAAAAGATGGTTGAGAAACACCCTCCTATCTCAGATGAGATGTCGCCTGTTTGGAAGGTGTTAGTGTAATCACTGAGCTTACCCACCGAGCTGATATTGGAAGAACTAGGTAAAGGCAATGCAGTCTTCACTGTGCACAAATTTCTTCGCAAATTCTGCTACCTTATCACAAAGCTAAACATGAAATGGCTAAGCCTCAGGGAGACACTGCTTTAAGTATTGTACGCAGCGCGCTTTTGCATCCGCTGAATTTAATGACCACAGCATTAGTTCGAACCAGTGGCCGCAAGGACAGAGGTATCACCACCAACACCACAGCCGTTTCCTGAAACCCTGATCCAATTAGTTTTCCGTCATGCAGCCCGTTCATTTTCCTGGCAATGGGGCTTCCAGCCCTTGGAGAGATGGGATTCTGCCTCTGCCAGCTGCAGCCAATCCAAGGACCAGAAGTTCCTCCACCTCAGCAGCGCCTCCAGCAGCGGTGGGCATTGTTGGTTCTGAAGCCAGTCCTGAACAGCAGAGGTGAAGGAGGCCTTGAACTGGCAGTAATTGTGTGGGGATCGCCAGCACCCGTCGGCTTATCAGGGGAATTAGAGGGTCCTTATTGAGGACAGGAAGGAATATGTTTCAGTGCCAGAAGTCCCTACATACACCACATGGTGCCTGAGCAGAGGTCCACAACTTTTGTCCCCAACCCCACACACCAAATCCACACAATGCTTGCCAGCTTTTATTGTGCAGCCTCTCAATAGAACATAGAACATAGAACAGTACAGCGCAGTACAGGCCCTTCGGCCCTCGATGTTGCGCCAACCTGTGAAACCAATCTGAAGCCCATCTAACCTACACTATTCCATTATCATCCATATGTTTATCCAATGACCATTTAAATGTCCTTAAAGTTAGCGAGTCTATTACTGTTGCAGGCGGAGCATTCCACGCCCTTACTACTCTCTGAGTAAAGAACCTACCTCTGACATCTGTCCTATATCTATCACCCCTCAATTTAAAGCTACGTCCCCTCGTGCTAGCCATCACCATCTGAGGAAAAAAGCTCTCGCTGTCCACCCTATCTAATCCTCTGATCATCTTGTATGTCTCTATTAAGCCACCTCTTAACCTTCTTCTCTCTAACAAAAACAGCCTCAAGTCCCTCAGCCTTTCTTCATAAGATCTTCCCTCCATACCAGGCAACATCCTGGTAAATCTCCTCTGCACCCTTTCCAATGCTTCCACATCCTTCCTATAATGCGGCGACCAGAACTGTACGCAATACTCCAAGTGCGACCGCACCAGAGTTTTGTACGGCTGCAACAAGACCTCATGGCTCCAAAATTCAATCCCTCTACCAATAAAACCTAACACACCGTACACCTTCTTAACAACCCTATCAACCTGGGTGGCAACTTTCAGGGATCGATGAACATGGACACCGAGATCTCTCTGCTCATCCACACTACCAAGAATCTTACCATTAGCCCAGTACTCTGTATTCCTGTTACTCCTTCCAAAGTGAATCACGTCACACTTTTCCACATTAAACTCCATTTGCCACCTCTCAGCCCAGCTCTGCAGCTTATCTATGTCCCTCTGTAACCTGCAACATCCTTCCGCACTATCCACAACTCCACCGACTTTAGTGTCATCCGCAAATTTACTAACCCATCCTTCTATGCCCTCATCCAGGTCATTTATAAAAATGACAAACAGCAGTGGCCCCAAAACAGATCCTTGCGGTACACCACTAGTAACTGAACTCCAGGATGAACATTTCCCATCAACCACCACCCTCTGTCTTCTTACAGCTAGCCAATTTCTGATCCAAACCGCTAAATCACCCTCAATCCCATGCCTCTGTATTTTCTGCAATAGCCTACCGTGGGGAACCTTATCAAACACTTTACTGAAATCCATATACACCACATCAACCGCTTTACCCTCTTCCACCTGTTTGGTCACCTTCTCAAAGAATTCAATAAGGTTTGTGAGGCACGACCTACCCTTCACAAAACCGTGTTGACTATCCCTAATCAAATTATTCCTTTCTAGATGATTATAAATCCTATCTCTTATAAACCTTTCCAACACTTTACCCACAACCGAAGTAAGGCTCACTGGTCTATAACTACCAGAGTTGTCTCTACTCCCCTTCTTGAACAAGGGGACAACATTTGCTAGTCTCCAGTCTTCTGGCACTATTCCTGAAGACAATGACGACATAAAGATCAAAGCCAAAGGCTCTGTAATCTCCTCTCTAGCTTCCCAGAGAAACCAAGGATAAATCCCATCCGGCCCAGGGGACTTATCTATTTTCACACTTTCCAGAATTGCTAACACCTCCTCCTTATGAACCTCAATCCCGTTTAGTCTAATAGCCTGTATCTCAGTATTCTCCTCGACAACATTGTCTTTTTCCTGTGTGAATACTGACGAAAAATATTCATTTAGCGCCTGTACTATCTCTTTGGACTCCACGCACAACTTCCCACTACTGTCCTTGACCGGCCCTAATCTTACTCTAGTCATTCTTTTATTCCTGACATACCTATAGAAAGCTTTAGGGTTTTCCTTGATCCTACCTGCAGATGGGACATGAGTGCATGCCCCACCCCCACCACATTAGTAAAACATTATACGAGGCTCTTCAGTGTATGAAAATGTAGTGTGATACACCACTGTTGCAAGGGGGTCAGTGAACTCCACAGCCAGTGTGAATCAGATTGGTGCCAGTGGCACATTCCACCTGGCATGGGTTTCCACCTTGGCACACATGTGGTGGAGCATGGATTGGGCCTGCATTTGATGGAGAATCATAGAATCCCTACAGTGCAGAAAGAGGCCACTCACCCAGTGAGTCCATACTGACCCTCCAAAGAGATTCCCACCCAGACACCTCCCACCCCCCCCCCCCAACCCCTGTAACCCTGTTTTTCTGACGGCTAACCCACCTAGCCTGACAATCCCTGGATGCTATGGGTAATTTAGCATGGCCTGCCCACCTAACCTGCACATCTTTGGACTGTGGGAGGAAGTGGGAGGGAATGGGAGCATTTAGCAGAAACCCATTCAGACACAGGGAAAACGTGTAATCTCCACACAGACAGTCACCCAAGGCTGGAATTGAACTTGGATCCCTGGCACTATGGAGCAGTAGTGCTAATCACTATGCCATTGTGCTGTCTTGAAGAACTGAAGAAGATGTGGTCACCTCTCAGCCTTCTTTATCCAAGAGATGGAGAACCAGCTGATATCCTGATATGGAAACCCATATACCTCCGGTATCATCATTGTAAATCTTCACTGCTCCCAATATCCTTAATGTCTTTGGTGGCCAGAACTGTACACAGTCATTAGCCCATGTTAGGATTAACATAACTTCTTCACTTTTCAATTCTATCCCTTTTTAATAAAGTCTCGTGCTCAGGATGTTTTCTTTCTAGCCTTGGTAATCTGTGATGTACCTTTAAAATAAGGGGATGCCACATAGGACTGAGATGAGAAGTAATTTTTTTTACTCTAACGGCAGTGAACCTTTAGAATCCTCTATTTCAGAGGGCTGTGGAAGCTGTCTTTGAGTATATTTAAAGCAAAGTTGATAAATTTTTGCTGTCAATCAATGGTATAAAGAGTTATGGGATAGTGTGGATAAAGGGCAATGAAGTGTTCTCCAAAACAGGATAGATTGGGAAGGATTAGGGAGTTGGCAATGGTGCTGAGCTGACACAAAAGGAGGAGTTGAGCCCTGGTGGAGATCAGTCATTATCCTGTTCAATGACGGGGTAGTTTCAATGGACTGAATGGCCTACTGCTGCCCCTATTTCTCATGTTCTTATGTTCAATTAGCCATGAGCATTTTGGGTGGTGGAGCAGGCTCGATGGGTTGAATGGCCTACTCCAGTGCCATTATTCCTACATTCCTGTGATTTGTAATGTGATTCGCTGAAACTTTACACTGAAAGCCAACCAAAGAAGTAGGAACTCTGGAGATTTCCAGGTTTCATTTACCATGGACTGTTTCAAAAAGAGAGTTAGCTACTCCAGGTGTCATTCGACCCATGTCTTATTTCATTGGCTTCCAATAATGACACTCAGGCTTAGCTCCTCCTCCAACTTCCTCAACATTCCAGCCAGCCTCCCCACCCCCCACGCCACCCCTGTCCCAATAGCCCGTCTTTTGTAATTGGTTCTCCTTGGGCTGCAGAACCTTGTTTAAAAATACATTCTAAACTGACACAGGAGTCAATGTTCAACTTCAGAACAAAAGGTAGGTTCTCAGCTAATTTCTCCAAAGAAATCTAACTGCCACTATTCTGAGTGACTTCTGAGCTGGTGACCAAAGGAAGTCACGGAAAATATAACATGACCCTCTGCCCTTGAGGAGTTACACATGGAATATGATGGTCAAGTGGGGTCACCTTCCTCAAGAAATGTAGACAACAAGAGTATAAGGGGGGGCAACAATAGTACCACTATGTTAGAATCATAGATAATGCATAAACTGATTCTTATTAGAATTAGAAGTGGAAAAGAATATGATTCAAACTTTATTTCACCTTATATCAGAGTGCTCACATCAAACCAGCATAGATTAGCAATTGAGTTGTTGTGGAAAGCAAAATCACTGTAATCCCAGAATATTTTAAAAACTTAATTCAGGGCATGAGGACGTTACTGGCTGGGCCAGCAATTGTTGCCCATTCCTAATTACCCCTGAGAAGGTAGTGGTCAGTGGCCTTCTTGAACCGCTGAAGTCTATATTCATTTGAGTAGGCTCACAGTGCTGTTAGGGAGAGAGTTTCATGATTTTGACCCAGCAACACTGAAGGAACATGATACTTGGGAAGGCCTGTGCTCCAGAACTTGCCGCTCCCCTAACCCAGCTCTTCCAGTACAGCTACAACACTAGTATTTATCCGACAATGTGGAAAATTTTTACCCAGGTAAGTCCTATTCACAAAAAGCAGGACAAATCCAAACCGGCCAGTTACTGCCTCATCAGTCTGCTCCCAATCATCAAACTGAGTGAATGTGTCATTATTAGTGCTATCATGTGGCATGTTATAAAGTGAAGGTTGACACCCCACTGAGAATTAAAACCAAAATATCCAAAGAGGAGCACCTCACCCCATAATCTGTAAAAAGAGTGTGAAAAGTGGTGTGACCTGCCTTTCAGCAACTTCCAGTGGTTAAATAAAATAAATCACTGACACTTACTTTAAAATCAACAAGTAACAATTTATTTATCCAACTCTAACAGTGAACAAATTAACCAAACTATTAACAAACTGAATGAATCCCTTCTAGCTACTAACTATTCCCAAACAAAGCAAAGTTCTAATGGTATACTGTTTCAATAAATTCAAGTCCCACATATATAAAAAAAAGAATTTAGTCTCTCGAAATTATAGCCAGGTTACGTCTTTCCAGAATGTTCTGTGCCTCCTCTATTGATCCTTCTCTCAGGACTATTAACAAGTTGTGCCGTAGGTAGCATTTTTATTTAGATAGTGCTTTTTCTAAGA